TTGAAGAATACTGATAACAAATAGCAGAAACAATAGCCAACACCATAGCCATCTCAGCTTAGACAATTATGACTGAGAAATTTAAGGTGAGCAGACTTGCTGCTGGAAGGAGGCCCAAACTCTTGAGCCGAGATCAGCTGCAGACCGAGCAGAGCTCTCGTGGAAGTTCCTAACAAGTGGGAGCAAGATTCTGCAGCATTTTTTTGAAGAACTGTAAGAGGAGATGCGACACGACTTTACCAGGATTATCCAGACGACAAAGCATAATTGAAGCAATGGCTACCAAGGGGTGGAAGTAGTCTAGGGAAAGCAATCATGGACTGGTCAAGAGCAAAGGTCACGGTTGTTATGACAGTCAAGTCAGCCTGTTGACTTTCAGGAGAGCCAAGAGAAGTAACATCTGCATATCCTGAGCGTTTTGAGAAAGCCAGCAAAGCTTTAGTAGAAAAACATGAAGGAAAGCTTGACCAAAGAATTCTTCTCCATTAAGACAATGCTCCTGCTCTTTCCTCTCATCAAACATGGGCACATTGGCAAGACTTTCTTTGGGAAACTACTAGGTGTCCACCTTCTTGGCCCAATTTGGCATCTTCGGATTTCTCTTTTTCCTGTTGCTATGGGTGTTAGGTTCTGTCGAGTTGGTGCTCGTGCAGATCCTCACAGCAACTGCATGCCCAGCAGAAGGAAATCCGGCCCCATCCTGCAGCAGCCTCACAAGTGTTTTGGTATTTTGTTTCCTAGTCTTAAAAAAAATCCTAAAAGTAGATCCATTTTACTTCAGTCAACAATGTAAAAAGACTTCATTGACATATGACAAAATTCCCAGGATCCTTAGTTTTCCAGGTTTGGACTAATTGGCTGAGATCATTGCTCACAATGACCCTGATGGAGCTTATTTTGAGAAATAAAGCTTATGTTTTAATTTTATCTTTTAATTACATTTAAAAATAGATTTCCTGGCATATAATTCACAAATCGCACAATTTAATAGTTCAATAATATTAAGAGTTGTGCAATCATCACCACAATCCATTTCAGAACATTTTCTTCTTTCTCATACTCAATTGTTGTTAATTCCCCATCCCCGCCCCCCCCCCCCAATCTCCCTGTGGCATGCCCCTAGGTAATTATTAATCCAGCTACTGACTATAGATTTACCTATCCTGGGTTTCATATGCAGAAAGTAATACAAAACAAAAACAAGGAACAACAATGACAAAACAAAATAGAGGAAAGCTTTACTCGAAAAGAAAGTAGAAAATATTAGAAAAGTGAAACAGCTTTAAAATGGATAAATGATTCGGTGTTATATTTTAACCTAACTACATCTGCCATAATCAACTTTACAATGTTCTTTTGAAGACTACTCATATTCACCATATTTGTGCTCAGATTTCAAAGCTGCTATGAAACGCGTTATGGACAGAGTTCGCAAAACCATTTAATACATATGAGAAACACTTTGAATCTCCAGCAGGATGTGGACATGTTGAAAACAGTGAGATAGTGGTCATGTGTTCCTTGCCAAACAAATTGGGTAAGCCAGGGAAGAATGTTCAAATATTGATTGCACTGTCAACGGCAATATTTTTCTGAAACAAAAGATGTGCTAGCCAAATAGTCAATAATAAGAGGCAAAAAAGAGCAAACCTGTTTTCTCAACAATATCATACTGCATACTAACATGCCAATTTTGAAGTTCAAGGAAAGGAAATGCTTATCTGGGATCAAGCTACATAAACCCTCTGTCATTAAATCAATTCTAAGTCATAGAGACCTTATAGCATCGAGTAGAACTGTCCCATAGGATTTCCAATTTCTTTCTTTATAGAAAGAAAATTTTCATAATGTAAATCAATAATAGTGATTCTTCTAACATGTATGAATATGCATGTTATTTTAATGCAATTGAGAGCATTATGTAAATTGGCTGTAAAAGTACCCCAAAATGGAAGGTTTTGTTGCTATTGATAAATTTAAGAGTTGTTTTTGATTTATGCAATACCCTGTTAAATTCAATGCTATTAATACTGAGTTGGTGCAAGAACTCATGCGTTCATTGAATCTAAACCGATGTAGTTTTGGAACTGATAAGCTTTCACTTCAAGTTCAAGTCAATTGTTGGCCAACATGGGTGTGAATATTCAGGAACATGATTCTTTAGTGCTTGATTCAGCTTTTGGAACATTTTCAAGTTTGGAGTATGCAAATTTCCTTTTTCATTGGTAAATTTTAGAAATCTAAGTACATAGTAGATATTTCTGATGAATACTTAGCATCTAAACTGAGATGTGCTACAAATAGAAAATTCTGATTTTGAAAACTTACTATAAAACAAACAAAAAATAACCTTAATAATTTTTATATTGATTACAGGTTGAAATGATAATATTTTGGATATCTATTGGGTTAAATAAAATAGATCATGAATGTTAATTTTGCCCCCTTTTCACATGGTAACTAGGAAATTTTAATTTATTTGTGGCTTACATTATATTTCTATGGGGTGGTGTTTAAGATTTTAATGATATGTTAACAAGCAAAAATAAACTCAATTTTGTAACATAGGTACTAGAGAAATGCAGACATTTAATCATTAACCTTTAATGGGAAATATTGCACATTGTAAAAATGTGAGTGTAGTGTAGCACGGTAAGCAAATATCTGCAATGAAATTAATATGTATAACGACACATTTCAAGGTTGTAGAAAAACAAGTGAGAAGATGTGATTCATGTGAAAATTAAGATGCATCTGGCATGAAACTATGCTGTAAACTAGAGAAAATTTTATATACAGTAAGTGACAGAGATTCAAATGAAATGGCTGTCTTCTTGAATTCACATGCAAGGTATAAACTATTTTGAAAAGAGAAGAGAAACGTCATTCCAAATACAAATACTGGTTATGGTATTGCATTTATCGCTCATGATTCCTAGTTTGTAAAATGTAAATATTTTAAAAACAAGTACATAGCTCATCTGTTTAGAAAGTTGCCCTGTAGTTTGAAGAATCAGTGGTTTTATATCTACAAATTAAGTATAAGATAGTCAATAATTAATACCATCTCAGTATTTGTCTTAAAGCAAAAAATTAAAATACAAGCAACATTTAGAAATAAAACAAACTGGAACTCAATATATGCATTGTTTTGGGTATTTCCCCCCTAAATGGTTTAAAAAATAATTAATATTTTTCAAGGACTAAAAATTGTGCCTTGAATTTTTGAACCCAAATATGTGTATGCGGGTGTGTGTGTGTGTGTGTGTGTGTGTGTGTATGTCTGTGTGTATAATATGCTCCAGAATAGTTTGGTTTGTTTCTTTAACAAGCGTAATTCTTTTTCAAACTACAAAATGCAGATTCTTAGTTTAAATTTAATAATGCTTCCAAGAAAGGGAACAGAAACAGAGGCTTTTTCTACGAATGCAGGTGTTAAGAGTAGCAATTTCTATTCTCCAAGTGGGTCAAAGACACAGCTGAGCCTTAGCCCCCAAAAGAATGTTCTTTAACACTAGAAATGAGTCCAAATTGAATTCTGCTCAAGGAGATTAGACGGGGCTGATGTGAAGGACTTGATAACTGGACTAGCTACTGAAATATATGTTTCAGGCAAGCTAAAGAGAACAGAGAAGAATGGGCCTCAGTAGAGAATTCTACTCAGGGTTAAGAAGATCTCATGAGTATAGGGTGAGCTGAAGTCCAGGGCTAATGTTCAGGGAGTACCAGGAAAGCAATCTCCTTATTTGTTGGATAGTCAGCAAAGCAAGACAGCTGCAGAATATAGTTCTCTTCTCCTTGGGGCCACTTACCTATCTCCAGGGGCGTCATGGGAGGCAAACGGAGATCAAGATCTTCACTGGCACTCCAGCTCAAACAGGAGGGGTGGGTGGGGGTGGCTGGCAAGATAACCACCGGAAGCCACTTGGACATCCTCTAGGACCGAAGGTGCTAATCTCATTGATAGTGACCAAAACAGGGGTGGGGGAGGTTCTTTCTGCATCTGTTCCATGTCTAGCAACTTTATGGCTTTTTGACTGATTAGTATTTGTGGTTTGGCTTGTGTTGTTTGCTTACCCAGATCTATGTTATTACATATACCAGAATCTCGTTACACACACACACACACACACACACACACACACACGCACACATACGCACGCACGCACACATACGCACACACGCACCCATACGCACGCACGCACAGGAAGCTGGAGTTGGAAATGGGGAGTGGAGGAAGGATGGGCGCCTTTCTCTTTGAAATACCAGAGAATGAGAGAAGCTGGGAGCCTTGTGCTTGTGCTCTTATGTTCTTGCAGGGATTGGAACAGAGAAGAAAAGGTCAAAGCACTAATCTCACATACCAGCCACAGAAAACACATCAGAAGCGTTGGCCCTGGACTAAGAAATGGCCCCGGGAGTTGAAGTAACAGAATACGTACATAGCAAGAATGTGTAGATAGCGACACTTCACTAATACACCGTGGCAAACCAAAGTGCATTAGTGGGCTTGTTGGATTGTCAAGTGAGAATGACAGACACTGACGGAGCTGAGTCTACGTTTCACTGACAGTGGGTGCTCCCATGGTTCTTTGCGGAAGGTAGCAATCATAAATCCCATGGAATGATCCCCCATGCCTCCCATTGGGGGGGATTTAATTGTTGATTTTCTGGATCTCTAACCCAGAAGTCCTGTGAGTCAAGAGAAGCAAGGTCAGACAACAGCGCGGTCGGAGGGTGGTTGTGATACAGCTTTTCGACATAGAAATCTGAAAGTGAGTGCTGTTGAACGTCACTGATAACACATCACTGTCATGCCATCACAGGACCAGAGTGCACGCTAGTGGGCTAAGGTACTTAAGGCATTGCTAAATTATCAAGCGAGAATGAATGGGGTTTACACGTGCAACAGAAAATTAGTTTCCAAATCTACATGTGTTGAGCCACCATTATAAGCACATGGGTAATATCAGTTGAAAATAAACATAATAAACCTTCACCTGGCACTGTCTTTGGTACATTTTCAGTTCTTGTAAGAGCTTATGATTTTCATCTTGTAGTTTATTTCGGCTTAGTGCGATTTCACTCACAGCTGATTTTAATTTCTCAATAATGAACTCATCTCCTTCACTGGTTTCACAAGCAGGAGGATCTGGCTCACCCACCAGCCGAGGAATTTCAGGGCCAGTGTCTTCTGCACACTGCTTTTTACCATTGAGTTGAGTTTGGTAACTTTGTGCCTGTTTCTGAGAAATAGGAAAACCATGTCGATTAATGAAAAAATATCACAGAGAATCTTACATGAAGTTTAAGGATGACAGACAAGGATTAGGAGAAGGACTTTAAACTTGTTATTAGATTATACAATTTGGTCCTTTGTAATTCAGGTTTGTGATTGACCTAAAACTGTGATCTCAGTTTAAGGACAGAACATGTCTTTTTATAATTGAGAGCAAAGATGCAGAGTCTGAGCAGGGGGCTAGGAGTTGGGAAGTCTAGTTAAGCAAGAAGAAAAATCTAAAAGCTATAAAGTATGGTAGACAATGATGGATCCAGTAAGAAATAGTTGAAAATGTCTCAATGACAAAAATAACTGAATAAAGTAAAAACAATCAGATTGTTGGGAAAACTTTCCAGCGTATATAACAAGGGATAATAATTTCTGATGTACAAAAATATATATGAATCAGTAAAAGACAAATAACACAAATACAAGTGGGTAAAATTTATGATCAGGCAATTCACAGAAGAGGAAATGAGAAAGGTTAATTAGCATAGGAAGAGAGGCTTAGAGTTACAAGTAGCCAGGGCGATATAAAGCAAATCAAGCTGATATTCCCTTATGTCCAATAAATTGGTAAAAAAAAAATAGGACTGAAAACATTCCATCCTGGTCAGAGTATGGGTATTCATAAATTATAAACTACTGTAACTTTTGGGGTGACATAATAATCGATTCAAAAACAAAACAAAAAGAACAACAAAAAACAGCCCCCTGCCTTTGAGTGGATTTGGCCTCATAGTGACCTTTGTAGGACAGGGTAGAATGCTCCTGGGGGTTTTGGAGGCTTTAAACCTTTATAGGAGTAGACAGACTCATCTTTCTCTGTGGAGCAGCTGATGGGTTTGAACCACTGAACTTGTGATTACCAGGTCAATTTGAAGGTACAGACCTTTGGTGAGAAAACCAATTTGGGACTTTTGCCTAAAACTGTGTACTCTCTCATTCTCCCTGTCACCGAGTCGATGCCAGCTCATAATGACTCTATAGGACAAGGTAGAACAGTCCCTGTGCATTTCGGAGATTATAACTACGTGAGCAGAAAGCGCCCCCCCCCTCCCCCGTTTCTCCCTCAGAGCAGCTGGTAGTTTTGAACTTCTGATCTTGCAGATTGCCGTTCAGTGAGTAACCACCAGGGCTGCACAACATGTACCAGTATTTAAAAATGTATACACAAAGATATGACAATATTGGAGCAGCAAAGAAATAGATCAACTTTAATTTTCACCAGTAGGGAATTGATTGATGGGAAGAATGATGGTACAGCCCTACACTGTGAAAACATATGCAGAGTTTTCTGCAGTGACTTGAAAGGATGTCCATGGTTTATAGTAAGTGAAAAAGCAAAATTTAAAAAGAACAATATGTAACTAATGCACACATTTTTTATACAGATAAAAGAAAAAGTAGAAAAGTATGAAAACACCAAATTGTTCACAGTGTTTACATTAAATGCGTTAGAATGGAAAGTAATTAATTGTACATTAGTTTGTTGAATTCATATTATCTATAACATACAATCAAATAACAAAAATAAATAAGTACATTAAGTGGATGAAAAGCTCAATTGGTTTCTTAATGGCTTTAACAAAACCTCCTCACTCCTTAGCCAAATCTTTAAAGTTTATTTCTGTCTGGATCCAACTTTTCCAGGTTTACTGCCTACTGCCCGGTCTCCCTGTCCTGAAGAACTCCCAGCTGACGGGTCTCCCCCTTCCTGCCAAGTAGTCATCCTGCGCTTCCTGCTTCAGCGACTTTCCTCCTGGTATGTCTAACATCTGGAATACATTCATTTCTCCTTGTTGCAAAATGTATTTCTTCAACGTGCAAGTCAAGTATCGCCCCTGTTGGAGGATACTGATACAGTATCTCATCCCCTATTTTTCTCTTAGTCATCTAAACCCCAAGAGGATTGGGAATTTTCCCCAAGGACTTGTTATTAATATTCTGTAACCATGTACATACATGGGGTCCCTGGGGGTACAGACAACTAATGTGCCGGTAGCCCAGAGTCTGATGGCTAGAATCTATCCAGAGTGTCTCAGAAGAAAGGCTTGTGGATCTACTTCCAAACAAATCATTCATTCAAAATCCTGTGGAGTCTAGTTCTACACAAAGGGTTCCCTGGAAACAGAACCAACTTGGAGGCAACTAGTTTAGTCTGATTATATACATACTTGTCTAGGCTCGGAGGTTCCAAGTTTAAGCACGTTTAGATTCTCCAAATTTCGATTTTATAGGCACACATAAAAGGATATATTTGGTGACACAGTACCACCCTTTGAGACATGGAGACTAAAGTGAATTCACTGTTACAGTGATTTCATACAGTGTGACTTTCCTCCGTTTTGAACCTACTCTGGTTAAGCTATTCTCCCTCGGTTGGCATTTCTCTCTATAAGCAGATTACATGCTGAATGACAAAGATACTAACATTGAACTTTTCATTTCTTCTTATTTAGAGAATATTGTTAGAGAATGTACCTGAAATTGATTACACTTCTCAGATAATAATTTCTGCTGAGCATCTAAAGAAACCAGATGCGTCTGATACAGTATCTCTTGCTTGTCCCATTCTCTTGACTTCGCTCTAAATTCCTTTTAAAAGGGGAATGAACATCCATTGAAGCAAATTATTCACTTGGAAGCACAGTGAATGCAGCTGCCCCCACCTTGTACAGCCTCATTCTGAGAGACAAAAAGTCTATTGTATCACAGAAACAAACAAAACAAGTATCGATTCACTCATCTTGGATTATTACTAGATGTAGTCATCCCTCGGCCTCTGTGGGTGGGTGGGGATTGGTTCTAGGACCGCCACAGACATCAAAATCCACAGGTGTTCAAATACTTTATATAAAATGGCATTGTAATATTTGCATATAAGCTATGCACACCCTCCTGTGTACCTTTAATTATCTCTAGATTATTTGTGGTGCCATGTGAAACCTACTACGATGTAAATGGCATGTAAATGACATGTAAATAGCACTTCTTACTCCCTCTTAGCTTCAGAGGGATGGCTTTGGCCACTTCATTGTTTCCTCTCACCCAGTGTTTCTGATCTGAGGTTGGCTGTGTTCACAGATTGGGAATCATAGACACAAAGGGCCAACTGCATGCCATTTATGTTACAAAAATATGGAATTTGGACTTAAACATTTTCTTTGTTAAAAATGTAAAATGCCTTTCTGGCAGCAAACGTTGGCTATTAATAGGAACCTTCAAACAACTCTGCATCAACCGCTTCTTCCTTTCTTCTGGGGGCTGATACCAGTTTCCTCTACTTACACAGCCATGGAACCTGTCCCCTGGCCTTTTAGGGGATGGCGCTTGGGCTTATTTCATGAGCTTGCCCCCTTTGGAAGCTACCATCCAAGATGAGTAGCCCCTGTGGTGCAGTGGGTGCTGCATTGGGCTGCCAATGGAAAGGCCAGCAGCAGGAAAGCAGCAGCTACTCCGTGTAAGAAAGACAGGACTGAGTACTCCTGTAAAGAGTTATAGTCTCCGAATCCCACAGGGGCAGTTCTGCCCTGTCCTATGGGGCCGGTTGTGAGCTGGAGTTGACTTGATGGCATTGAGTGGGATCCACGATGAAACCATGGTCAAGTTAGTGTTCAGAACCACAAAACTAGCTCAGCCCTCCTTTTGCTCGTACCCAGTAGACCAGTGCTCAGCTGGGAAGAAAGTGATGGCATCCGCCTAACACAGTATGCTAAGTTGTTCAGGATTTTGCTCAAGAAGTATATTCATGGAACATAATTATTAGTTTATAACTTATTCACTGAAGAAGATATGGCTTTGGTGGCATCCAAACTGAACTTCACTGCTTCTCAACTTTATCAAGAGCTGGCCATTGTATCTTATCCTCTATACAGGATGTAAGCAACTTAAACGTATGGATATCTTACTACTGTATACTTTATTACTTTTGTACTACTCACAGTACCTGGAAAAGAGTGGGCACCATTTATATTACATGAACATAAAACAAAAGTATAATCTTAATATTTCCCACAATCTAGCTATTTTTCCTACAGTTTGCAAAGAAAATGGCACAGTTGAAATAAATTTCACAGCAACTAAGCCCATGGCCATATATCACTGCACATAGATAGCTATATGGCTGGAATGACAGCTATATCCAGTCATCGACGACTTATTAATATTTATTGAGCACCATTGTCTACTAGTGCCAGAGCTTAGTGTCCACCAGGGACTGGGATGTAGAACTAGGAGAAAAGAGAATTTTGAAATATTTCATGATGAAAAGAACCCATTTTTGAAAGAAACTTTAATGTAGAAGAAATGTACATATAAACAAATTTTACTCTATGAAAGTGAAAACATGGTATCAGATAAGAAGTAAGCAGAGGATTTTGTGGTTATTTCAGCCACCTTGAGAACACAAACAATTCAAGACAATCGATTTGGCCCAAGGGATTTATATTATTTTGAAGATGGAAGATGGCTGAAATGACTGGATCAAAAACATAATGATTTAGAGAAAACTACATCTCCCTTAAACTGGGAAGAATATGGTATTACATTCTTTTTCCATAGAAATGATTTTAAAGGACATTTTGGAAATTTGTAGGCTTGCTTCACTCACAGTTTTGGGTCTTTTGGATTTATAAAATGAAACATCTCAGTATCTACACACATTCAAGGAAGTCCAGTAAACACAACTATTATTCAAATGTACACACTAACCACTAAAGCTAGTGATGGAGACAGTGAAGAATTCTATCAATTTCTTCAAATACACTCTGCAATGAAGATGCATTGATACCTATTGGCAATTGACAACTGGCATTGATACCTGTTGGCAAAAGTTGGAAATGGAAAGAACAGTAGTTGAAAAATATGTCCTTGGTGATAGAAATGAAGGTGGAGATGGTAGGGCAGAATTCCGTAAGACTAGTGACTTCTCCATTGCAAATGCCCCCCCCCCCAACAACATAAAGGGCCTGCACTAGGTGGACTACATACGAATCAAATTGACTACAACTGTGTGAACAGACCATGAAGATGCTCAGTCGTCAGCCAAAACCAGGCCAGGGGTCACATGTGGAACAGAACAACAATGGCTTATATACAAGTTCAAGTTCAAGAAAAGGAAACCAAGTCCATAAGAGCCAAAATAAAATATTGAGTAGAACCCACCTGAATTCGGAGACTCAAGAAAATATTTGACTAATTGAACACTAATGACTGAAGGAAGACCTGATAAGTTATGGGATGACATTGAAAACATCATATATAAAGCAAATAGCCATTAAAAAGGCAGGAAAGAAAGCATAAAAGTGGATGTCAGAAAAATCTCTGAAACTTGCTCTTGAATGTAGAACAGATAAAGTGAATGGAAGAAATAAAGTAAGAGTTGAACACAAGATTTCAAAGGGTAACTTGAGAAGAGAAAGTATTAAAATGAGCCATGCAAGGAGGGTGGAGGGAGAGTGGGTAGGAAAGAGGGAACCGATTACAAGGAACTATATGTGACCTCCTCCCTGGGGGACAGACAACCGAAAAGTGGGTGAAGGGAGACGTCGGACAGGGCAAGATATGACAAAATACCAATTTATAAACTATCAAGGGCTCATGAGGGAGGGGGGAGTGGGGAGGGAGGGGAAAAATGAGGACCTAATGTCGGGGGTTTAAGTGGAGAGAAAATGTTTTGAGAATGATGTACAAATGTGCTTTACACAATTGATGTGTGTATGGATTGCGATAACAGTTGTATGAGCCCCTAATAAAATGTTTTAAAAAATAAAAATTTTAAAAAAGCAAAAAAGGAAGAGTGTGCTCAGTATACCTCAAGCAAAAGGAAAGGAAGAGACAAAAAAAATTCTTGAATTGCAATGTTAAAGGTGCTTATGTGCAAAATATTGAATGATACAGGAAGCATCAAATGACAATGACAATGGAAGGAATACACAGAGTCATTGTAATGAAAATAACTGGTCAATATTCAACCATTTGAAGAGGCAGCATATGATCAAAAACTGATGGTATTCAATGAAGATGTGCAATCTGCACTGAAGGCATGAATGAAAAACAAGACTCCAGGAATTGATGGAATGCCAATTGAAATGTTTCAACAAGCTGATACAACACTGGAAACACTCACAGATTTATGCCCAGAAATTTGTAAGACAGCCAACTTGCCAACTGACTGGAAGAGATCTATATTTATGCTCTTTCCAAAGACACATGCCTCAATACAATCTGGTAATTATCAAACAATATCATTAATATCACATGCAAGTAAAGTTGTGTTGAATATACAGGCGGGCACCCCCCACACCAAATGGCAAAAAGCTACGGCCAGCAGAACTTTTGCAGTACCCATTTTCCCGGCTAATCAGGCATCAAGCTACACACTCTGAGCTAGTGCTGTCAGTGGTGTCTCCTGGGAATGTTTCTCTGGTCACAGTGACGTTTTTCGAAACAGCAGTTTTCACTCGAACCTTGTTTTTTGTGATGGCCAATTTAGGAGACCAGCGTGCGGCTATGAAATTTTGTTTTCTGCTTGGGAAATTGCAGCAGAAACTGTTGTGATGTTGAACACAGCTTACAAGGACAGCGCTATGGAAAAAACTAAGATGTACAAGTAGTTTTCTTGTTTCAAAAAAGGTGAAATGTCCAGTGTGGGGTGGGAAAAAAAAGGTGAAATGTCGTCTTGTTTCAAGAAAAGCAAAACATCTGTCAACTTCCCAAATGGGGAATTTACAGTTCATTCCACCAGGTCAGAATGTTAAACAAGCTTTCTACTTAGAGATTCTAAAAAGATAGTGTAAAAATGAGAGGGGCTGGTACACCACGCCCCCACAGAAGCAAACCAAGAAGGAAGACGAGAAAGGGATGGTCTAGACCCCACATCAGCGCACCGCGTCCGGGAGGATGGCGTTCCTTGACAGAGCTGCTAAGGCATAGAGAGGACTGTAGGGTCGACAACAGCTTACTGCAACGTACTGCGACAGAGGACAACACTGGGACACAAAACAGGGAGTTAGTCCAGTCTGAACACCTTCCCCACCCCCCCAGTGGGGCGAACCAAGAAGGGAACATAACACATCATCAACGGGAGCAAAACAAAGCCACAAAGCCTCTAAAGAGCCCCCCAAATTATGGTGATCAGACATGCCGCTTTTGGCGGAACAGTCTGATTTTTGGCGTTTTAAAAATGTCCCAATTTTTGGAAAGAATGCATGACAAGCTAGGGAATGGTCTATTTGGTCCATATAGACCAAATTTTTAATCAAGAACTCCACACACACCCCCCACCCCCCGTCAATGGTGTCCCGCTTTAAATCTGGTCACTTTACCCAAAATAGACTTTAGGCTAGGAGGGGCAGCTCTTAGAATTCTACCAGGACCAGTGGGGAGACAGTTATAAAGGTCTAAAAGACCTAGAATGTTTTTTTTAATCATTTTGTTGGGGCTCATATAACTCCTATCATCTTTTTTTTCTTCTCAATGTTTCGTTTTCCTTTTGTTTGGTCTATGTTATTGTTGGTTTGCCTACTTATAGATGGTAGGCATGGGAAGCAAACTCGAGGAGAAAGTAATAGTCTGATAGTCGTCGAAGGACTTGTGGGTCCAAGGAGGCAAGGGAAGGGGGAAGTGAGCAAACAGCACCATAGACATGAGGACAACTAAGGAATTAATGTCAACAAGGAGGAGGTAGAGATCCTGGGGGTGATGGAGCAATAACAATCTAGCAGAGAGGAAGTACTAAGAGGCAGAAGTAGGGCGAGCATGATAGTGGGGCAGGAGGAAGGTAAAAGGAAATAGAGGAACGATCTAGGAAGCAAAGCTATAGATAGCAGTATAAACATAGGTGTGCACTATGTAAATACATTAATTCATAAAAATAGAGGTATTGGCCTATATACATATATTTATATGGCAATACACTGAGATAGTGGACAGACTTCAGGCCTCTGCTCATACCCTCCTCTTTCAATGGAAGAACACGTTGTTCTAACAAACTGGCATTCTGTGATGTTCACCCTTCTGGCACAATCGCTGAAGACAAAATGGGTGCATAAGCAAATGTGGTGAAGAAAGCAGATGGTGCCCAGCTCTTAAAAGATATAGCATCCGGGGGGTCTTAAAGGCTTGAAGTTAAACAAGTGGCCATCTAGCTCAGAAGCAACAAAGCCTACATGGAAGAAGCACACCAGCCTGTGCGAATATGAGGTGTTGTCGAGGTTGGGTAACAGGCATCAGAGGACCCATAAGATAGAGGAAGGAAGGAAGGCAGGCAGGCAGGCAGGCAGGAAGGAAGGAAGGAAGAGACAAGTCAGAGTGCTCCTTAGAAGCAAGGATGGCTTGGCTAGACTTTGTCTCGTGTATTTTGAACATCTTGTCAGCAGAGATGAGTCCCTGGTCAGCAGGTGAAAACTACCAGGCACTACACAAGAGAAAGACGGGACTCTCTACTCCCATAAACACTTACATTCTTGGAAACTCACAGGGGCAGTTCTAACCCTGTCCTCTAGGGTCACTGTAGGTTGGCATCAACTCAATGGCAATGAGGTATTTTGTTTGTTTGTTTTATTTTGAGACCATACACACTCAATTGGAAGTTCCAGGAAATGTCAGATGTGTCTCACACTTTTCCCTACCCAGACAGCTTCTTACAACACCTAAGATAATCATATCGGATCACAAAACCGGTAATAATTAGGTAATACTGAGAATCATAGTCTAGACAAGTTCACATTTTTTGGAAGACACAAGACAAGGCGTTAGTGAGCCTGGAATTTCAGCAATGATGTTAATGAAGCAGGATACAATCTACAGGACTGAGATGTATCCTTAGTCAGTCTCTTTTGATATATAAAGGAGATTAAACAAGTGAGCAGAGATGAGAGGGGCCAGACTACCAACCACCAAGAAAGAAGAGCCTTTGGACTCAGGGTCTTTGTGCTGAGTATCTCCTAGACCCAAGGAAGATAGATGCCAAGGCACATGGAGATCTCCAACCCCACAGATGTTGAATGAAGACAAGCACCTTCCCTCTAGAGTCAGCAAAGAGAAAGCCTTCCCCCAGAGCTGGCACGCTAATAATTTTGAACTTCCAGCTTCCTAAAAGTGTGAGAGAATAAATGCCCTATTTGTCAAAGCAGTGTTTATATTATGGCAACACTAGATAACTAAGTCAGCAGGCAATTAAAGCTACTAATTGAGCAGCACTGGGGAAGTGGCTAAGGTTAGACAAAAGAAATTTATTGTAGATTCTACCTGCTGTTGCATGATCTGTAACAGAGGTACTCAAGAACATAGGGAAGAAAAGTAAGTGGTTTATTTCCCCAAGTTTGGAAATTGCAGAAAGTCCAGGAGCTAAGGAGAAGGGCAGCTATGGAACAGTAGACCTTATTCAGAGCCAGGTTTTATTTTTCAGCAGTTCTGGGTGATATGGGGTCTGCGTTGGAGGGTAACTACCTCTTTAAAGAAAAAACCCTGCAACTTCAAACGTTGTTCTGAAACTGTTAGGAGGCTTCATTGAAATTTAAGTACCTAACAGTTTAAGAGCCATTAAAAGATTTATTAAATATTCACTTTAACTGACCCCAAGGGTGTCCTTCAATTTCACTCAACATTTGCAATTTCTTTGAACTGTTTTTTTGGCTCTCACAAAATGCTGTTATATATAAGATGAATAAATCAAAGTGATGTCTTAATTCACTAAGTGCCTGAAGGGAAGACGAACTAAGAGAATATATTCAATAAAAAGTTGACTTGTAATGGTGTTTGTAACCACTGCCATACAAACCAATGTGCACACTATAGACAAGTAATCCCAAACAACAAGAGTAAAAATCAATCAACTACGAAAATATACCTCACCTCTAGTTTCTCATTCAAGTTGCTTGGTTCAAATGGAATTTCTTCTTTCAGGTTTAGTAATTCTTTCCGTCGAACTTTGTTTTGTTTCATCTGGTGTAATCTCAGTTTTTCAAAGCTATTTGTCAGTTTGGAAAACTGTAAATAACAGATAATGTTAACATTTTACTCTTACCCATTACTTCTAATTTGATTTTATGATAGCTCTTTTTGTGTGTGTGTACCTCTTTGAAAATGTAGTCATGATTTGAAAATGCAGTAATGCTTAAATGTTCCAATTAGTGAAGACAGAATCAGTTATTAAAACTAAATTATTGAAGCTGAGCACGCTTTAGCTTTTATGTAAATTGGGGACTTTATTAATTACACAGTTAAACAATGATTCACTTGATAACTGTTTTGTTTCAGCCATAGGTAGCAAAGCTCACAATATGAAAAACAACAAAAATTTTTTTTTCTTACTTTTATTTAGTGCCATCTTGTGTTGGCAATTTTAATTTCAGTAACTTGATCAATAAAATAATCAACTTATACTTTAATCAATATGAAATTTAAAAGATACAAATGATATAAAAACATGAAAATAAAAGTTTAAATAAATTTAAATAAAACGTATTTAATTCTCCTCTTACCAATAAATCTTTTCATTACATGTACTCTATTTCTCTGACTCCCACCCCCTACCATTTCTTGTTTACCTTCAGATAAAACAGTGGTTCTCAACCTTCCTAATGCCGCGACCCTTTAAAAGTTTCTCATGTTGTGGTGACCCCCCCAATCATAAAATTATTTTCGTTGCTACTTCATAACTGTAATTTCACTACTGCTATGAATTAGGCGACCCCTGTGAGAGGGTTGTTCGACCCCCAGAGGGCTCGTGATCCACAGGTTGAGAACCAATAGATTAAATGCAACGTGATGTATCTGCATCTGTTTGAAAAATTTCGACATAATTATTTTTAAAATCTTAAGCTTTTAATTTGAAGTGGTTACGGAGCCAGAGGAAGATGTAAAACTGTTATATAGAGGTCAAGGGTCCCCTTCAACTCATTTCCCACCATACGCACATAGTACGTATCTATGGTACCATATCAAAACAAGAGAATTGACATAAATACAATATGCGTTTCTGGTTCTATGCTGTTTTATCACACGTGTAGATCTGTGTAGGTGCCTTGGTGGCTCAATGGTTAATGTTCAACTGTTAACTGGAAGGTCGGTGGTGTCACCCATCAGCAACTCCACAGGAGAGAAGACCTGTCCATCTGCTCCCACAAAGGCTGCAGCTTCAGAAACTCCTATGGGGCAGAGCTATTCTGTGTGCTAGGGTCGCTGCGAATCAGAATGCTACAACAACAGAGATTGGTGTGATGACAACCGCATCGAGATACAGAGCTAGCTCTGTTGTCCCCACAGGGCTCCCTCAGGCTAGCCCTGCAGTCATGCTTCCCTCCTGGCCCCATCCCTATGGTTTCTGTCAATCTTGCCCTGGATGCATATATCATACTTTGTTTCTCCATTCATTAGCTGATGGACATTTGGATTATTTCTATTTTTTGTTGTTATGAATAATATTGTTAGGAACATTTGCCTAGCAGTTTCTGAGCGGATAGAGGGAGAAACTGGAAAGCTCATACATTGCCATTGCTCATACGGTGTGAGTATAAAATGGTACAGCCACTTTGGAAAAGAGGTTCCTCAAAAATTAAACAAAGTTATGATATGACCCAGAAATTCCACTCACAGGAATTATCTTGGTGCCCCTTCTACTTTCTTTTAATATTCACATCTTTTTACTTTCAACATACCTAGACTTCCCTTGAGTTTTTGGAAGAGAGTGTTTAGTTGGGTCATGTTTGGTCCACTCTATCCACCTTTGTCTTGGAGTGGGTATCTATCTATCTATCTATCTATCTATCTATCTATCTATATAAATATTCTAATATAGTTCATCTATGTGATTATTGGCATGTTAGGACTTCACATCTGCCATTTTACTCTTTGTTGCTGGTGGTCCTCTCAGCCTTTTGTTTTTCTCTTTTCATTGTCCTGGTTCCCTATGGGTTACATGGACAGCTTTTAGAAAGGAGTGTTAACTTATCTATAGTTTTGAGTGTTGGTCTTTGCATAGATTCCCAGTGGCTGCTTGGCTTGGCTTTTCCTTCATTCTTGAAGGGCACTTTGCCTGGGTATAGAATCCCGGATCAACACTTCTGGTCTTCCAGAACTTGAAAAATGTTGGCCTCCATGGCTTCCTATGAACATCTGAATTGCTTCTTCACTATCGGAAACGTGTCCTTTCTCCCTCAATGCCTTCAAGATTTAATGTTTTCTTTAGTTTCCAAACGTTGACTACGATTTGTCTGTGTGTGCGTGTCTTTGGGTACATCCTATTGGAGATTTTCTTGGTTTCTTGAATCTGAAGGTCTAAATCTTATGCAAGTTCTGGAGCTTTCTGGCCATGATTGCTTTAAATGCCTTTCTCAACATTCTTTCTTCATTCTTCGCTCCTTCTGGGACTGTGATGACACACACTTCAGGCATTTTTTATAATAGGCCCCTGAGGTTCTGGTCGCTATTTATCCCATTCTGCTTGCCCTCCTTTGTCCAGACCGGCAAATTTCTACTGGTCTATCATCCAGTTCACTCATTCTTCCCTCAGTCCTGTCTATTCTGTTATTGAGTCCACCCATGGAGTTTTTAGTTTACTCATTGTTATTTTTCAGTTTTAAAATTTCCAATTAATTGTTGTTTATATCTTCTGTTCTTTGCTGAAACATTCTAAGTTTACACCTGTTACCAGGAACTTTTTGCAATTGCTCACTAGGTAACATTATGATGGCTGCTTTTAAATTTTTGTCAGGTAATTCTGACATATGTATCATATTTACATCTGTTGATTTTCTTTTTTTATCCAAGTTGAGCTCTTCCTGGCTCTTGATATGACCAGGGGTTTGTTATGGAAAAATCTTGACGTTTTAGGTGTTAGGTTAAGAGATTAGGAGCCTTGGTGGCACAGTGCTTAAACACTTAGCAGTTCCAACTGACTGGAAGCTCCACAGGAGAGATGAGGCAGACAGCTTCTGTCAAGATGTACAACCGTGGAAACCCTCTGGGGCAGTTCCATTCTGTCCTGTGGGGTTTTGAAGCGTCAGAATCAATGAATCAATTCAGTGGCGATGAGTGTGGTTTTGGTATGTGATTCTAGATCTAATGTCAATCTTGTATTTTAGTAGTCCAATTCAATAATACTCCATCAGGAAAAGTGAGGAGCTGCCTCATTACTGATAAGTGGGTAGTAGTTCACCTACTCAAGCTGGCCTGCATGTTGCCTTTAGGATGGGTGGTAATGCCTCATTCTCTTTCCCGCCTTGTAAGATGATGGCCTCATTACCACCGGCCTTCTCCTAGTCCAGCAACGATGGGAAGGGGTGATCATCAATACTAAGAAAGGGTGGAAGTCCAAGCTCCCTACATGATCACCGTGTGGAGGAGGACCTTGTTAATGCTCTGAGGGAATGAAATTCTCCATAATGTAAAAAGTCTTCTTCCATATGGAAGATGATGTTTCGGCTTGATGAAGATAGAAATCTAGGTTTTCCACTGTACAAATCCAGTCAAGCACTAGAATTGCTCTTTTTCTTCCTCCTTTCCTTTTAACCAGAGAAGGAAGACAGAAAAGAGAAGCAGAGAACTGAAGTAGAAGCAGGTAGCAGTTCCATCAACATTAGTGCAGTATGACCAAAGTGTATTCCGTAGAGTACCTGTTACAGAAGTATTAGTAGGGTTCAGCTTGAAAATGAAAATGGGCTCTACAGTCATCTCTGTTTGTAAAATGATACATTAAAACAGCTAAATGAGTTTCTTAAAAGCAGGATTTGTCAAGGCCTGTAATAGTGAATCTCTCGGAGTGAGGAAAAGGCAAGAACATTTCTTAAAGGTGTAGTGTTCCACAGAACATTATTTGTGAAATGACTGTAAAAATATTTTTGGTTAGCACTGAAAACCATGTGGTAAGAGGTATGACAAGAGAGTTGCAAAGTATCCAATGGCAAAGATCCATACATTAAATGACTACTCAACAACTGTAAACAAAGCCCAAAGTTTTGTAACATCAGAAGTGAAACAACAACAACAACAAAAAACCTCAGTGATTTGGTAAGCAGTTACTGAACTTAGATGGTACCTAATTTGTACCAAGATTTCCTTATTTTTTTAAGATTAGTCAAAATGTGATCTCTTTATTCATATACTGAAAAATCACAATGATTAAATATTTTCTCATTTTAGTAAAGAGCTATTTTTGTAGATAAAACAAGGTTACCTAACTTAAGTGTTAAATGCTTGAAATTTTGGCTAAGAAAAACCATATAAAGCTTTCAGAATCCAATGTTTGATGGTCACATGCGTTGCAGGCAAAATGTCTCAGTACAGTGTAAGCTAGTGTTGTTATACCCTACCTATGATAGCAAATATTTCAGATTACTAAGTGGAAGAATCCCCTCCATAAAAAAAATATATTTAAGGAAGGGCATTAACTCTATTGACTTCTTTAACTAAAGTACCATGAATTCTCACATTCAAAAAAGTTGGTGGTAAAGTAAAATTTCATAATTGGATTACATTTCTTAGAGTTGCTGTAACAATGAAGAGGACTTAAAAAAATTAAAAATCAGAAATGTATTCTTTCACAGTTCTGGAAGTCAGTAGTCTGAAATTAAAGTATTGACAGGGTTGGTTCCTTCCCTGGGTTGGACTAAGATGGAAAATCTGAAACATGCCTCCCTCCTACTTTTTAGTGGTTTCCAGAGTCCTTGGGGATCCTGGCTGCAGAAACATCACTCCAGTGTTTGCACCCATTTTCATAGGTTCCTCTTCTGTGTGCATCTTTACATGGCCTTCTCATCAGGGCACCAATCACTGGATTTAGGGCTCACGTTGATTCAACCTCATCATAACGAATTACATCTTTAAAGACTTTATTTCCAAATAAGGTCACATTGTGAAGTTTTTAATGGACATATGTCGTGGAAGGATGGAATTAGTGAGCTGAGATAGCCTGGTATTGATCTCTTTGAATGGATTATTATATGGTCTATTTACATGGAATGACAAATTAAAGAGACATGGCTTCACAT